CCCCAAAACCCCAAAACCCCAAAACCCCAAAACCCCAAAATATTCAGATTATTAGAATTAACTATGAACTCCAAACCCTTGCAGATAGATTGCCGTAGAGTGAAGGACAAGCTGTAAGTCTTCATATCAAAGGGTGTTCAGGAACCTTTGCTTTATCTGTCTTGGACTCCCTTGCAATATCTTTACACTTCTTCTCGTTTAAATTTTGCACAACGTTTTCTTACTTCCTTGCTTAAAGACTTAATAATATAATTGTGGAATTTAGAAACAAGGTAACAAATTTTGAAACTGATGAAGAGTTTGGTTTAGAAATCTAAATTCAGAAATTTACTCTCTGCAGCTTGAAAATCGCCAAGCAAACGATCCTCGATTGTAGTGAACTCTCCTAAGAGCAAGCCGAATTATATTAGCAACAAGGTAGATTTGATTAGTTTCATCAGCCAGTTTGGCCTTCCTATTCAGGTAATAATTAAAATAACATCTACAGTCGGATTGTAAAGTTAACACTAAAACAAAGGAAAGAATGACTAACAGGTATGATTTTGGCTCAAGTATAGGCTTCAATCAACCCTATCACTTCCAGAAAGCCAAATTTCTAACAGTACTGCCTTACCTCATCTCATAGGAAATAAGAATCTCTGCAGGAAGAGATATCGGGTTTCTGGCTCTATGGTTTCCAAGAGAACTTCGCAAGGATCATCTTTTAGCAGAAATGTATATTTTTATATAAATTTTAGCATGAAATTAACCAAAATTTATCGATTTTAGGCACTGGGTGCCTCAAGCCAGGATGCTTCTCACCGAAGAAAATTAGTACCATTGATTATCAATTATAGAAGGCAGACACATTAGAAGAAAGCAGCTGAAGGTCAATTTTAAGGTAAGATTCCTACTGAAATTCAAGGCCAATTTGAACCTTGATTTGGACGATGACATCCATGACCTGGATGAAGAAGAAACCCCAAATCCGAAGAAGATCATTGACATCAAGGTTGAGGATTGTAGGCACTCTTGGTTATTCTTGTAGCTATTGTCAAAAGCATGGAGGATCCAGTTCAAAACATTCCTATTTTTAGAGCTAGAAGTAAGGGTTTTTACATAAAATTTAGTCTTAAAGAAGAAACCATGTAGAATCAACAAATCTATTTGTAAGTTACTGAATTTTAAAGTTAAGATACAAGAAAACAGTTGATGAAACCAAGCTTTATCTTGTTTTCACCCATGTCAGGTCTGGATAGTATGCAAGTCCATCAGATTCGTAAAAAGAGAAAATTTGAGCCTTTTAAGAATCTAAAATTCATGACTGTAAGGAAGTCTTTTGATGATACGCTTCGAATGAGAAGAATTGTGAGCAAATTACATGACTAAAGTAATGCTTATACAGATCCAATTTCATGAATCTCCCAAGGGGTTTTGGGGTTTTGGGGTTTTGGGG